TGACGTGGCGATTCTTTTCGCATATCCTGAACGTGACACAGGAACATCTCGCACTTCTTGCGAATCAAGCGCCTCGCGCTCAAGGATGATATGAACTCGGGAGCCTTGGGGAACACCTCCCCGGAGAGTAATACGTCGCTACCGTCCTCGGCTCTCAGCCGTACGGTCCGACAACTGCAGTCGACCACTGCTCTATGCTCGGTGAGCCAATCCATACCAAGGATAATGTCAAACTCCTTGTGTGGTAGCTCTATCACATCTGCAGGGAATTGCTTCCCTTGCGCCGACAACGGAGACCTATGATAAATGTGATGAAGACGCATGCTATGCCCTAGCGGATTCGATACAACGGTAGGTATCTCAAGGTCACTCCTCACAATCGCAGAATTAGCAAGCATGCCAACACAGATATAGGAGAGCGTAGAACCCGGATCGATCAAGGCATGCATAACCGAATCAAATAGTATGAACGTACCCAAGATAACATCGGGACTAGGATATGTGCGCCCATGCATGGCGTAGGTACACGCTGGTGCCCGGCCTGACTGCTGCGGACGTGCTCTCTGCTGATTATTTGCGGCCGTAGACTGCTGACTCCGTGCTGGATGTGATGCGGCAGGCTGATCCGGAGCTCTAGGTAAAACAGGCTCGCTGCTAGGGTTTGTCGGGCAATGCTTCCTGAAATGCCCTGGCTGACCACAACCCAAACATAAGCCTTGGGCGAGCCAACACTCGCCCGGGTGATGCCTACCACAATGTACACATTGCGGGTGGCTCCTCGTTCTGTTCGAGTTGCTAGCGGCGGCCGACGGAGACGGCCTCGACTTACTCCTCTTAGGCGGCGGCGTACTCGAAGAACCCTTCTCGTACCTCTTTCCCCCGAATCCAAAACTCTTCCCGCTCGGCCCGGTGCTGGCCGCGGGTCGCGGGTCTTTCGTCGCTCGATCCTCTTTCTTGGTTGCCTGCAAATCGTCCAAGCTCTTTTCCGTCTTCACAATCAAATCATACGCCGCATTAAAATCTGTCGTCGTGATTAGTGCGGCGAACGGCCTCAAGTCCGGCCGTAGCTTCTTGACGAACTCATTCAAACGATCCTCCGGAGTGGAGACCAGACTCGTCGCATACTGGGACAAGTAGTCGAACCTCTGTCTCAGTTCAGGCAGTGACATCCCCTCCTGCTTAAGCGCAACGAACTCATCGCGCCTCTCCTCGCGGTACCGGGTGGGTACGTACTCCTTCGTGAAGGCTCGATCAAAGCGATCCCAGGTCCACGGCTTGGGCGTGTGTGGATCCTGGTCAATGCGCTTCCACCAATCATATGCTCCCTTCCGGAACATCTGTGACGCCAACTCCGAGCGATCAGCATCTGGGACTCTCAAATTCTTAATACCCGGTCCATCTGCTCAAGCCAATCCAATGCAATCTGGGGCTCCCCCATATTGTCTCCTCGGAACTCTTCCGCTCCATTATCCTTCAACATCTTGAAGGTAACGATGCGCGGCTGTGGCTGTGGTGGTGGCGGTGGCTGGAACATGGGCATAAGCTGCGCCATGTGCTGCATATAATGGGCCATCATGGCCGGGAACATCTGCTCGTAGGCCACCGGCGGTATCGCCAACGGTGGCATCACTAGAGGTGGTACGACTGGCGGTGGTACAGCTCGTGGCTGTCTCGCTGGCGCAGGTTGATTCTACTGTTGCCCTCCGTCACCCGGAGGCGTGAAACTCGATCCCTCGGTGTTCACCGTGTGCACGCTCACGTGCTCCGGCTCCAGAACGTACTGACCGTGGGTCGATTCTTGACTCATTCTAAAATAATAAGGAAATTCCCTCGTCAGATCTCAACATATAACAGATAAAGCTATAAATACTTATTACCCTCCCGGGGCAGAGGAGTTACGTGAGATGCGGATGCGGCTGAATTATTCATTGTATTTTTTTTTGAAAGGGTCCAAAGACCGATTTTAAAACCAAATGCTCCGATACCAAAATGTAACACCCCAACCCGCATGACCCAAACCCGTGAGACAGCGGACCGGTGTGCCACTGAATTGGTATCCGAATTTGCGGCATTTTCAGAACAATTTTAAACAAACGTTCTATCAATACATATAAAAATCCATCGGAGTAATTTAAAATAATGCGGAAGCCTTTTTAAAGTCAAACAACTTGGGATCTTGCCCGAAAACGTAATAAGCATTAAAGTTAATTAAATAAAGCATAATCAACAGATTAAAGAGACAGCCACGCCATCGTACATCTCCTCCTC